GATCTCTTGACCTCGTGATCCACCCGCCTCGGCCTCCCAAAGTGCTGGGATTACAGGCGTGAGCCACCGCGCCCGGCCTGTTTGTTTGTTTTTTAAGACAGAGTCTCAATCTGTTGCTCGGGCTGGAATGCAGTGGAGCAATCTCGGCTCACTGCAACCTCTGCCTCCAGGTTCAAGTGATTCTCCCGCCTCAGCCTCCTGAGTAGCTGGGATTAGAGGCATGCGCCATCACACCCTGCTAATTTTTGTATTCTAATTAGAGATGGGGTTTCGCCATGTTAGCCAGGCTGGCCTCAAACTCCTAACCTCAAGTGATCCACCCGCCTCGGCCTCCCAAAGTGCTGGGATTACAGGCATGAGCCACTGCGCCTGGCCCGAGTGAAGCTTCGGAGAGCATCAAGTCTCATCACTGCCCTGCTCCACAGTCTTCAGTGGTTCCCCATTGCCAACGATCAGATAAAATCTCCTCAAAATTATACACAATCACCTTAACCCTTCAGCTTTAAGCACACCTGCGACCACCCCTCCCTCTGCCGCAACCTTTTTTTCCCCGTACGGATGGGCTTTCACTGTGTCACCCAGGCTGGTCTTGAACTACTGGCCTCAAGTGATCCTCCTACCTCGGCCTCCCAAAGTGCTGGGATTACAGGTGTGAGCCACCACGCCAGGCCTGCTACCCTCTCTTTGCCCTCCCTTCTTCACCAGGAACACCCTCCCCTCTCTCGATAAAACATGTTTCCCTCTGCACCGCTGCATTTCACAACCAGCTCGAATACCCTCTCATCCCGCATTCCCTTCCTGCTGCCCCACACTCTGCAGAGGAAGTCCTTGTGCAGGACAGGTGGGCAGTTTCCAGAAGAGGCTAGGTGGAGAAGTTTCAGGCGGAGGGCCAGCCATGGAGTGGGAGCCCTGGGCAGAAGAGTTAGCCAAGTAGAGTTGCCCTTCTTGCCCATCCAGCCATACCTGGGTTCTGCTTCCAACCCCTCCTACTACCCCTCCCCACACTAGGCCTGGGCCTGCCAGCTGAGCCCTCAAGGGCCTTGGAGGCCTGCCAGAGGAACAAACGAGGATGTAGGGCTCGCCGAGCCCCAGGGTCCCCCTTCTGCCCCCAGCCTATCCCCTGGGGCAACCTACCTCCCCAGTGGGAACAAGAGGCAGAGGACGCAGTGAGCCGTGATTCTACCACTGCACTCCAGCCTGGGTGACAGAGCGAGACTCCATCTCAAACACAACAAACAAACAAGCAGAAAAACAAAACTGCTTGGGCTGAGCGTAGTGGCTCATGCCTGTAATCTCAGCTACTCAGGAGACTGAGGCAGGAGAATCACTTGAATTTGGGAGGTGGAGGTTGCAGTGAGCCGAGATCCACACCACTGCACTGTGACAGAGCAAGAGCGAGACTCCGTCTCAAAAAAACAAACAAGCAAAAAAAGCAGAGGACAAGATTAGAGGCAAAACAGGAGGAACAGAGAAAGGAAGGGACAAAGAGGGACCCCAGTGCAGCCTGGACCAGTGCAGAGGGCAGGGCTGGAAAGTCAGGTCCTGGGGCAATGCCTATTCTGTTTGCTATTGCATAATCTCAGCAGCTGGGCCACAAAGAAGGCACTTGACTCTGTCCCAGTCTCTACACTTGGCACCCTTAACCTCTCTCCTCCCGCCTTTCCCTAGGCCCAGGTCACACCCGTTTTTATTTTGTTTAAAATAATTTTTTAAGATGGGGTCTTGGTACATTGCCCTTACTGGAGTGCAGTGGCTACCGAAGGGCACCATCATAGCGCACTGCAGCCTGGAACACCTGGGCTCAAATGATCCACCCACCCAGCCTCCCAAGTAGCAGGGACGACAGGCGCGTGCCCCTGCACCCAGCTGCGCCCGTTTCTGTCCTCTGGTCTCGCTCCTTTTTGTGGTCCCTACCACTTTATTAGGCCTCAAGGGAACCCCGTGGTCCATTCCGTGAGGCCAAGCAGAGCTTGGGGGATTCTCAACTCTTGGATCTCCCTGGTGGCTCATCTTTCTCCTTTCGGTCTCCAAACCAGACCAGCAATGGCCCCAGAAAGAGGGTGGCGCCAGGAGAAGTTCCCTGAGCCACTGTATGCCTACCTGTCCCTTCCTGACTTTTCAGTTCCCCAAACCCGAGGCCGGGCCTACCTTTGATCAGATCCACGGTGTGCAGCTCGAAGGGAATGCCGTTCTTCTTGGCGAAGATGTAAACGGCGCGGCAGGGCTGGGACAGCAGGTCCAGGTACAGCTCCAGGCCCATAGCGGAAATCGACCGACCAGACTGGAAACCTACCGCGGAGTCTGCAAACTCCAGTGCCAAGGCTCAGGTCTCCTACCTTGGACCACGCCCCTGCGGTCACGCCATTGGGCGGCTCGGACGCCTGGGCCACTTTACTCCAATTGCAGGCGGGCGGCGTGTCCGAGGGCTGGGCCGCCTGGCTTCTGCTGGATCAGGGGGACGCACAGAGAGGCCCCAGTCCCATCCCTTTTGTGCCTGGCTGGTTTATTTTACTTAGCATTATATCTTCAAGGTGCACCTGTGTGTCAGAATTTCCCACCGTCCCCGTTTTACAGAGGAGGAGACAGACTCTGAACGATCATAGGCTCAGAAAGTCTGGCTCCAAAGTCGATACTCTTGGCTCAACACTGCAGAGACAAAGCTAGTGGCAAAGCCTCAGGGCTTACGTCCAGTGTTCTGTGGCCGCTCGCTTCACTCCAGTTGCACTCTCTGGAATGTGACAGCCTTGGCCTTGCTGCTCTTGCCAGCGCAGTGCTATCCATCGCGTTCCCTGGGTTCATTTCTTCCCTTCTCCAGGCCTGTGTTCTCCATCATCTTTAAAATGATAAGGAAGCTAGAGCCCTCCAGAGTCCTTGCAAGTCCACAGCCTGGACTCATCTGCTGAGCCGTAAGCCCAGGCTGGCCCCTTGCTGCCAGGGAGCTCCCCAAGGCCTGCCATTGAGCCTGTCAAACAGTATCAGGGTCCCGTGTCATTTCCTAAAACTAATCCCACTGAAAGTGTGTCAGCCAAAGCATAATGTTTTCTACAGAGTAAGGAACATTTCTGCAAAGTGAAAGTAATAATTATTTTATTTTATTTGGATAGAGTCTCACTCTTTCACCCAGGGTCGAATGCAGTTTTATGATCATAGCTGACTATGGCCTCCAACTCCTGTGCTCAATCCATCCTCCCACCTCAGCCTCCCTGGGTAGCTGGGACTACAGATGCACACCACCATGCCCAGCTAGTTTAACATTTTTTTTTTCTGTAGAGACAGGGTGTCACTATGTTGCCTAGGCTGGTCTCAAACTCTTGGCTTCAAGTGATCCTCCCACCACCTCTCGAAGTGCTGGGATTACAGATGGGAGCCATGACAGCTTGCTGGTGATAATGATTTTTAACTGGAAAAAAAATTAAGGAAATATGAGAAATTCAGATTTCCGTGTTAAAGTTTTTAAAGGAGCTAGACACTCAGAGAAGGCAATGGCTGCCTTTTCCTCACCTGGGGATAACTCACATCAGAGGCCCAAGGAGGAGCTGTCAGGACTCTGGTGCAGGCCTCAGCCTGTCTTGCAAGTTCAAAACCTAATTTGGGGCCAGGAGTGGTGGCTCATGCCTGTAATCACAGCACTTTGGGAGGCCAAGGTGGGTGGATCTCCTGAGGTCAGGAGTTCGAGACCACCCTGGCCAACATGGTAAAAACCCATCTCTACTAACAATACAAAAATTAGCTGGGTGTGGTGGCTTGCACCTGTAATCCCAGCTAGTCAGGAGGTTTAGGCAGGAGAATCACTCAAACATGGTAGGCAGAGGTGGCAGTGAGCCCAGATTGTGCCATTGCATACCCTCCTGAGTGGCAAGAGGGAAATTCCATTTCCAAAAAAAAAACGAAACAAACAAATAAACAAAAAAACCAAAAACCTAATTTTGTCTACATTTAAGCATTGATCATTTTCTTTGAGTCAAACTCACACAAACCAGCTCACAAGAGGCTGTATTCCTTTTATTAATTTACAGAAAAAAAGATTTTTTTTTTTTTTGAGACTGAGTTTCTCTCTGTCACCCAGGCTGGAGTGCAGTGGCACAATCTTGGCTCACTGCAACTTCTGCCTCCCAGGTTCAAGCAATTCTAGTGCCTCAGCCACCCGGGTAGCTGGGATTTCAGGCATGCTCAGCTAAATTTTTGTATTTTTAGTAAAGATGGGATTTCATCATGTTGGCCAGGCTAGTCTTAAACTCTTGGCCTCAAATGATCTGCCCGCCTCAGCCTCTCAAAGTGTTGGGATTACAGGCATGAGAAACCATGCCCAGCCTGGAAAAAAGAGAAAAGTCATTTAGACAGACTGCTCCCAACCTTTGCTCAGTGCTGTCTTGGCAGTGCAGACTCCCAGAAAGCCTTGCGGGTGTTACTGGCCAGGACCAGGTCCATTCTGCCCACGCACAGTAAGTTAATCACCGTGACATGAGTTTTGCAAAAGAGAAAAGGCTTATTCACAGGGCACCAAGCAAGGAGGTGGGATAACAGCTCTCAAACCCACCTCCCTGAAAATAAGCCTTAGGGATAAGCCTTGCTTCCAAGCAATAGAGCACAGGCCCCAGCCACGCTCAAGAGGAGGGGCTATCCCAGGATGTGAACAGCAGACTGTCGGCCTCGTGGGCCTACAATTCAGAAGGGCCGTGCACTCGCTTTAAAGCTTTGGTGTTGCCATCTTGAGATTCTTAATTTCAAAATAAGGGTCCCCACATTTTCATGTGTAGCCAGTCCTGTCCAAGGAGTCCAAGGAGCTCATGAGGGTGGACAGGGCATTGCCTGCTCTGGGCAGCGATGAGACCACTAACAGCTGCTCTCCAGTCTCCCAGCCCCTACCCCAGGGCCACACCTTCCCCGTGGTATCTCACATTTTTTTTAAGCGACAGGGTCATGCTGTCGCCCAGGCTGGAGTGAGTGCTGTGGTGCAAACTCAGCTCACTGCAGCCTCAACCTCCTGGGTTCACACAATCCTTCTGCCTCAGCCTCCTGTGTAGCTTGGACCACGGGCGCATGCCTCCATGCTCGGCTAATTTTTGGACTTTGTGGAGACGGGGTCGCACTTTGTTTCCCAGGGTAGTCTTGAATTCCTTAGCTGAAGTGATTCTCCCACCTCGGCCTCCCAAAGTGCTGGGATTATAGGTGTGATCCACTGTGCCTGGCCTCTCTCACATTCTTGACATTTAAAGTTACTGTCATTGACAAGGAACATGGGTAAACTCAAATTTACTCAAGAAAAAAACACTTTTCTCCGTTGAAGAGATATGTGGCCTAGCTGCTTCCTACTCTAGTTGAGGTCCGTTTCCTTTCCCTTCTTCTTCTTCTCTCTGATTTTTTTAGAGATGCTATATGTCCCTCCAGGGTGACAAGAGGGAAACTCCATCTCAAAAAACAAAACAAAACAAAACAACCTCATTTAGTCTACATTTCAGGATTGATCATTTTATTTGAGTCAAACTCACATCAACCAGCTCGGTGGTTTTTAGTATATTAACAAAATGTTGTCCAGCTGGGCAACATAGCAGGACCTCAGCTCTAAAAAAATAAGAGAGAAGAAGTTCTAGCCTCAAGAGACCCTCCTCCCTTGTTCTAGCCTCAAGAGACCCCCCTGCCTTGTCCTCCCAAAGTTCTAGCCCCAAGAGACCCTCCTCCCTTGTCCTCCCCACGTGTTGGGATTACAGGTGTGAGCCGCTGTGCCCAGCCTCACACTGCGGTCATTAGATCAGCAGAAGCAGCCTTGCCTCAGAGCTTGTTAGAAATATACTAACAGGCTCTCACCATCAGACCCAGACCTACTGAATCAGACAGAGTCTGTATTTTCATAAGATCCTCAGGTGATCCAAATGCACCTTAAAGTTTGAGGAGCTCTGATCCAGAATCTGGGCGGGGAGGCCACCGGGGGCCCACTCTGTCCCTCACAGACTGCAAGGCATTATGTTTTCTTGCCTCTTCTCTCTGTCCCAATGTCTTCTCCTTTCTATGTCTGACCCTGAGGACCCTATGACATCTTCTAAGGGGGGTTTCCACTGCCAAAGTCCTGATTCTCTAGAATCTGATGGGCTCTTCTATACACCAATCTCTACCTGCGCTCTGGTTGAAGAAGCCAATCAGCTCATTGGTTGGAGGTCACATGATGTGAAACATGGCCGTCTTCTAAGCCTTATGTATGGACAAGGAGATAGGGACAAGTAGGCATATCACATTCTGATACCTGGGCCCACGTCTGTGCTCGGGCCCCCAGGAAATACTTTTATGGGGAGTTTTCCTCCCCTCCCCCTATATGGTCACTCATAACTTCACAGCCAACAGTCGAACAGGAGTGGAAGCTAGCTACAGGGTTGCATGCAAACACTAGGCTAGGCTGTGGGCTGAGCAAAAGCACTGGACTGTGGTAGGTCTTACCACAGGATGGCCAAATGGAAGGGCTTTAGCTTTCTTGGTTTTTGTTTTATATCTTGAGAGATAATGTTCAATTTCTACGCTTTAGAATAAAAAAAGCCATAATTTATGTTTCATATTTTTGTAGCTGCTTCCATGTTCTTTTGAACAATGTAATCATATTTTCATTATGAGATATAATTCACATACCATAATATCCACCCTTTCAAAGTGTACTTGAAAATTGAATTGGTTTAAAACCAATGCAGTGGTTTTTAGTATAGTGACAAAGCTTTGTCACCATCACAATTATCTAATTCTAGATCATTTTCATCACCCCAGAAAGAAACTCTGTACCCATTAAACAGTCACCCCCCATTTCCCTCTGCCCCTAGCCCTTGGTAACCACTCATCTAGTTTCTACCTCTGTGGACAGGAAGTATTTGCCTATTTTGGACATTTCACTCAAATGAAATAACGAGATGTGTGGCCTTTTGTGAGTGGCTTCGGACATTTAGCATAATGTTGTCAAGGTTCATCCATGTTTAGCATATAACAGTCCTTCATCCCTTCCTATGGCTGAATAATATTCCATTTTATGGACATGCCACATTTTATTGATTCACCAGTTGTTGGACTTTTGCACTGATTCTGCTTTTTGACTATTGTGAATATTGCTGTGATGAACATTCATGTGCGAGTTTTTGTCTGGGACATATGTCTTCAGTTGTCTTGGGTATATACCTAGGAATGGAACTGCTGGATAATATAACTCTATATTGGCCGGGCATGGTGGCATACACCTGTAATTCCACCATTTTGGGTTGCTGAGTTGGGTGGACCACCTCACCAGGAGTTCGACCAGCCTGCCCAACAAGGTGAAACCCCATTTCTACTAAAAATACAAAAATTGGCCGGGTGCAGTGGCTCATGCCTATAATCCCAGCACTTTGGGAGGCTGAAGCAGGCAGATCACGATGTCAAGAAATCGAGATCATCCTGGCCAACAAGGCGGAACCGTGTCTTTATTAAAAATACAAAAATTAGCTGGGCGTGGTGGTGTGAGGCTGTAGTCCCGGCTACTCAGGAGGCTGAGGCAGGAGAATTACTTGAACCCAAGGAGGTGGAGGTTGCAGTGAGTGGAGATTGCGCCACTGCATTCCAGCCTGGTGACAGAGCGAGACTCAGTCTCAAAAAATAAAATCAAAAATAAATTTTAAAAAATTAGCCAGGCTGGTGGGACATGCCTGTAATCTCAGCTCCTCAGGAGGGTGAGGCAGGAAAATTTGCACGAACCCAGGGGATGGAGGTTGCAGTGAGCTGAGATGGCACCACTGTACTCCAGCCTGGGCAACAGGGCAAGACTCCATCTCGACACACACACACACACACACACACACACACACACACACACACACCCCTCTATGTTTAACTTTTGGAGGAACGGCAAGAGATGTTTTCCAGAGTGGCTGTACATTTCACATTCTCAGCAGCAGCACACAAGGGTTCCAATTTCTTCACACATCCTCAACAATACTTTTCATCTGTCCATTATACCCCACGTAGAGTGTGTGAAGTGGCATCTCATTGTGGTTTGATTGGCAATGTCTTGGTTATAGTAGCTTTGTACTAAGTGTTGAAATTGGCAAACATAAGTCCTATGACTTTTTCTTTTTCAAAATTATTTTGGATATTCTAAGTCACTTTAATTTCCACATGAATTTTAGGGTCAATTTGTCAGTTTCTGCAAAGAAGCTGAATGGAATTTTAATGCAGGTCGTGTTGAATTTGACATCTTAACAATACTATGCCTTCCAATCATGAACATAGTACGTCTTTCCATTTAATAAGGTCTTCTTTAAGTTTTCCCCAGCTTTTAAATTATGAAAACATTTAAAACAGAAAACGAAAGGACTAACACCACAGCAGAATATGCAATCGCAGTTTTACGTGTCTTCTGAAAGTAGGATACCAACATCATGACACCCCAGCGAAGTACTTTTTAGCAAAACATTCTAATTTTTGTTTCTCTAGTGTGCTTACTGTTTGCCTTCCTCCACAACAATGTGAGCACTAAAGGTGGAGAGTTTTTCCTATTTCGTTCACTACTGCTTCCTCTGCACCAAAAATATTGCCTGGTTGTGGGTACTTGTCTAGTTTTAGGAAGGAAAAGACAAGATATAGGCCCTGACTCGGGTTCTGCCTCTAATTAATATGCTACTCTGAGGAGCTCTTCCCCTTGAAGAACTTGTTTCTTCATCCGCAAAGTGGGGATAATACTACTCATCAGGGTTGTGAGGATTAAACAAGGTAAGAGATGTAAAATTGCATGTTAGTTTTCAGATAGTTTTCTTTTCCCATCTAGCTCTGTGAGGGAGATTTGCTCTAGTCCATCCCTCTGGGCTCTGGGTTTCTAATGGATGGACAGACACCTTTTTCCGTGATGTTTGCAGCTGCAGAGCCTAGCACAGTCCCTCAAGATAAGCTTTTGACTTGAACTGTTGATGGTCTTCCATGCACAATTCTACAGAAACCCAGTAGCCTACACTTCCTCGTACGCACTTGCCCCCCTCTTTATGTTTATTACACATTCATTGCTACCTAATAATCTCCTATACTTGTCTTTTACTTTATCCAATCATTCAACAGTTTCCAACAGAAATACCTAGAGGAGAGATACTCCAACTTCATTAGACCCTGAGATTCTATTTTTAACATTTCTTCCATGGATCGTTGAATGCTTCCGATGATTGATCCACCCTCCCTAGGTCTTTCCTGCATTCCAGATTCGGTTGCATGTCCATGTCTATGTTGCCAAACTTGCCTCACAGACCCACCTTGAACACAAGGATGGATGCTTGCTGACGAGCAGGACTCATTCTGTTGAACCTGCGTGTTTTCTCAGGTCAGATTGCTTGGTGGCGCTTCTTTGAATTCTTTTAACAGTACATTGTAGTTTGCTGTGTCCAAGTGTTGCTTTTCTTTTGGTTAAATTTATTCTAAGTATTTTATTCTTTTTGATGCTATTGTAAATGGAAATATTGTTTCAATTTTGTTTTTGATCCTTTATTGCAAATGTATACAGTTGAATTTTGTGTATTAATCTTGTAACCTGGTTGCTGAACTTAGTAGCCCTAATGCTTTTTAAGTGAGTTCCTTAGGAGTTCCTACAATGTCATCTGTGATTAAAGATAGTTTTACATCTTTCTTTGTGATCTGGGTGCCGTTTGTTCCTTTTTTTTTTTGGCCTAATTGCCCTAATAAGCAGGGCAATAAGAATGTGAATGCACATTATTGTCCTGTTTCTGACCTTAGTGGGGAAGCACTCAATTTTTCACCATTAAGTAGGGAGTAGTTTTATAGTTTTTTCACAGATGCTCTTTGTCAGGTTGAGGAAATTCCTTCCTAGTCTTCATTCATTGAGTGATTTTATCATAAAAAGATGTTAGATATTTTCAAATGCCTTCTCTGAATTAGGATGATCATGTGACTTTCTGTTAATATGGTGTGCTACATTGACTGATTTTTGTATGTTAAACCACATTTGTACTCCTGGGATAAATCCTACCTGGTTACGGTATATAATCCTTTTAATATGCTGCTGAATTTGATTTGCTAATATTTTGCTGAGGATTTTTACATCTATATTTATAAGGATATTGCTTTATAACTTTATTTTCTTGTAATGTCTTTTCCCTGTCTTTGGTGTCAGGGTAATGCTAGCCTCATTGAATGAGTTGAAAAATGTTTCCTCCTGTTCTGTTTTTTGGAAGAGTTTGTGAAGGCTTGGTGTTAGTTCCTCAAGCATTTGGTTGAATTTACTAGTGAAGCCATCTGGTCCTGGGCCTTTCTTTGTAGGATTTTTTAAAAAATTAATATTTTAATCTCTTTAATTGTTACAGGGCTATTAAAATTTTATCTTTCTCCTTAAGTCCGTTTTGGTAGATTGTGCATTTCTAAAATTTTCCCATTTCATCAAGGTTATCTCATTTGTTCACTTACAATTATTCATTATATTTTTTTATAAACCTTAGTACTTCTCTAAGGCCAGTAGTGATGTCTTCATTTTCTTTCTTTCTGGTTTCTATTTTGTGTTTTTGTTTTTTGAGATAAGGTTTTCTTATGTTTCCCAGGCTAGAGTGCAGTGGTACAATCATAGCTTAGTGTGACCTGGAACTCCTGGGCTCAAGTGATCCTCCCACCTCAGCCACCCAAGTAGCTAGGACTACAGTCATGTACCACCACACCCAGCTGATTCAGCTAATTTTTATTTTTCTTTCTATTTCTTTTTTTTTTCTTTCTTTCTTCTTTCTTTCTTTCTTTTCTCTCTTCTTTCCTTCCCTCCTTCCTTCCTTCCTTCCTTCCTTCCTTCCTTCCTTCCTTCTTTCTTTCCTTTCTTCCCTCCCTCCCTCCCTCCCTCCCTCCCTCCCTCCCTTCCTTCCTTCCTTCCTTCCTTCCTTCCTTCTTTCTTTCCTTTCTTTCTGAGACGGAGTTTCACTCTTGTCATCCAAGCTAGAGTGCAGTGGTATAATCTCAGCTCACTGCAGCCTCCGCCTGTCAGGTTCAAATGATTCTCCTACCTCAGCCTCCCAAGTAGCTGGGATTACAGGCATCTGGCACCACACCTGGCTAATTTTTTATTTTTAGTAGAGATGGTGTTTCACCATGTTGGCCAGGCTGGTCTTGAACTCCTGACCTCAGGTGATCTGCCCACCTCAGCCTCCCAAAGTGCTGGGATTACAGGCATGAGCCACTGTACCTGGCCTCCCAACCAATTTAAATATATATATATAGTGGAAACAAGTCTCACTATATAGCCTAGGCTGGTCTCAATCTCCTGGCCTCAGTTGATTCTCCTGCCTCAGCTTCCCAAAGTGCTGGGATTGCAGCTGTGAACCATTGCACCCAGCCTTCACTTTCTTTCTTGGTGAACAATTAGAGTCTTATTTTTTCTCTTGGCTATGCTAACTATTCTTATTCTTATTTTTTCACTTGGCTATTCTAAGGGTTCGCCAATTTTTGTTCTTTTCAAAAATCCAATTTTTGGTTCCATTGATTTTCTCTGTTGCTTTTCTATTTCATTTATCTCCATCTAATCTTTATTATTTCCTTTCTTCCACTGGTGCTGGGTTTAGTTTGCTCTTATTTTTCTAGTTCCTTAGAGTATAAAATTAGGTTATTAATTTGAGATTCTTCTTCTTCTTCTTCTTCTTTTTTTTTTGTGATGGAGTTTTACTCTTGTTGCCCAGGCTAGAGTGCAATGGCACGATCTCTGCTCACCACAACCTCCCCATCCCAAGATCAAGCAATTTTCTTGCCTCAGCCACCCGAGTAGTTGGGATTACAAGCATGTACCACCACACCCGGCTAATTTTGTATTTTTGGTAGGGGCGGGGTTTCTCCATGTTGGTCAGGCTGGTCTCGAACTCACAGCCTCAGGTGATCCGCCTGCCTTGGCTTCCCAAAGTTCTCAAATTACAGGCATGAGCCATCGTGCCTGGCCTAAGATTGTTCTTCTTTAACTTACGTGTTCATAGCTATAAATTTTGCTCTTAGCACTGCTTTTGCTGCATCCTGTAAATTTGGACGTGTTGTGTTTTCATTTTCATTCATTCAAGATACATTCTAATTCCCTTGTGATTTCTTCTTTGACCCATTTGTTTTTTAAGAGTGAGCAGTTTAATTTCTATGTACTTGTGAATTTTCTGGTTTTCCTCTGTTCTTGAATTTTAACTTTATTCCAGTGTGTCCAGAGAACATACTTTGTATGATTTCAATCTTCTTAAGTTTGAGACTTAGGACTAAATATACACTCTATACTGGAGAATATTCCACATGCTCTTTAGAAGAATATTTGTTCTGCTCTTGTCGGTGGAAGGTTCTGTTCATGTCTACTGTGCAGTTGGTTTATAGTGTTTTTCAAGTCCTCTATTTCCTTGATGATCTTCTGTAGTTTTTCTATTAATGAAAGTGGGGTTTTGAAGTCACCAACTATTATTACTGACAACGTAACTATATTTAACCCTTTACTCTTAAAATTCTTTTGGGAAACTGGAAGGATCTGTGACCACCACCCACTCCCACATCAGACCCAACACATGCGCCAACTGTCTGTTACTCAGCAGCTGTGATGGTTGTTCCAGTTCTTTATTAGGCAAAGAAAAGTTTGTTTGTTTGTTTGTTTTAGCATTTCCTTTAAGGAACATGGCTCAGAGAGCTGAGCCAGCCAGGCCCTGCAGGACCAGCTGAGTCTAGGGTCACAAGTACTTCTCCTGAAACTCACAGATTTTCTCCTTGACCAATGGATCCAATGTTGAAAAGTCCCAGTCAGCCAGCTGCATTAGTCGATTGTGAGCCTCCCTAAAGAGGCCAGAGCCGATACTCAGCTCCACCCGCATGAGCCACTCAGCTAGCTTAGAGCTGTTGAGGAAGGCATTATAGTTGGCCGCCATGGGCTGTGTATAGACAAAGAGAAAGATGTGGTCATCCTGGGGACCAGCGCACCTGGGTCCTTGCCCACAGCCTCAGGGGCCCTCCCCATCAGCCTCTGCAAAGAATTAGGCTGCTGTTCCCCAAGCCTGAGCAAGGGGTCACAGACTATGTAATAGATGTAGGTGGGGATAGAGGACCCAGAATCCCCCAGGGTCCTTGGTCACTGGTCTTCTCGCTCCAAGTTCTGAACCACACTGAGAGGGCTCCTGGTCCAGGCAGCTCCCACTTCTCCAGCCTGCGACCTCCCATGAATCCTGCCTTCTTTCAGGGAAACCCCTTATCCCAGGTGTGTATATGTGGATGAGGGGGAGAACTCAGTTTTTTTCCCCATGTTTAACCTCCCACTGTGATCAAGCACAGGGGCTAGAATGGGAGACCTGGCGGGCAGTCTGCCCTGCAGTTTGGCTGGCTCACTAAGGCAGTCTACCCCGTAGCTTAGCTTGCACGCAAGATCTTTGGGAAGCCCAAGAGGGGTGAGGTGGTGGTGAAATGTAAGGGGTGGGAGATGAAGCCTATGACTGAACCCTTGGGGGAGGCCAGAGTGAGTTTTTCTCATGCTGGTCTGCACTGCAAACAGATCGAAGAGACTAATTGCTTATCAGTCAAAGATCTCTGGGATAGGGAAAAGAACACTGCGTCTCCTGGTCAATCCACCAGGATCCCGGATGCCTCCTCCTGGGCATAGCTCTGGCCACTCTCTTTGGTGAGTGTGCAGTGCCCTAGCTGGTGTGCAGGATGGCCAGTGTAGACCCTGGCCAGTGTCTTGAGAGGCAGAACTGGTCACCCTCCCCTGCATGTAGAGGCCACATAAATGCCCCACACCCAGGTGTGTCTCCAGACGCACAGTGGATGTGGCTCAGACCCAGCCAGGAGAGCTGTCCTTCACAGCTGTCTGTCTGGAGCTCTGGGAAACAGGCAAGGCCAGAAGGACACCCAGGAAGCCAGTGAACATTTCCTAGGGCGTCCAACAAGAGGAGGAGGCATCAGGGATGCTGGTGGATTGACCAGGAAATGCAGAGCTATTTTCCCTATCTCAGGCTCACCCTCCAGCTCCTCCCACACTGAAGAATATTTGTCAAGGGTGCAGAATTGTGATCCCTCCTGTTTCATAACATTCTGTGCTTCCTGTTGCCCACACATTGAGTCCGGGCACCCAGACCGGGCACCCAGACCTGGCTCCCACAGCCCCCAAGGCAGCTCCACCTGCCTTTCCCACTTCACTAGCCTATCTTCAAGTGATGGCCCCGCTGGTCATAGAGGAGTTCCACCTCTGCCCAAGGTCTAACCCTCCTCCACCCCTCCCCACACCTGCATCATCTCCACCACGGCCACCAAGTCAGCCAGTGAGATTTGGTCCCCAGTGATGAACAGCTTGTCCTGAAGAAACTTCTTTTCGAAGAGCTGCAGGCTGTTCTTCACCTCCGCCACTGCGTGATCGATCTTCTCAGCTGAAACTTCCTCCCCTGTTATCTTTGGGATCAGCAACTGACCAGGGTTGGGAAGAGGAGGGAAGAGGAGGCTGCACTCCTGGGCCACCTGCCCTGCCTGAGCTCTGTACTCTTGTCTGCTCGATAGCTATTGGACAGTTCCCAGGACATAAAGTAGTTTCACCTCTTGTAGTAGTTCTGATTGGTGGAAGTTCCCTAGGCCCATATGTCCACGAGGATTTGGATAACTCATCAGGCATAAATCCTGTGACTGATTACTGATGCCTGTCACAGGCATACAATTAGAAGCAGGGACACATGTACTGGTTATTTGTCATCGTCAAATTTTCTTTTTTTTTTTTTTTTGAGACAGAGTCCTGCTCTGTTGCCCTGGCTGGAGCCCAGTGGCAGGATCTTGGCTCACTGCAGCCTCTACCTTGCCTGGTTCAAGCAAGCCTCTTGCCTCAGCCTCTCGAGTAGCTGGGACTACAGGTGCACACCACCATACCAGCTCATTTTTTGTATTTTTTGTAAAGACAGGGTTTTACGACGATGGCCAGGCTGATCTCAAACTCCTGACATCATGATCTGCCTGCCCTGGCCTCCCAAAGTACTGGGATTACAGTTGTGAGCCACTGCACCTGGCCTTATGTGGGCCTTTGACTCTGAGATTCTCTCGTTCAGAATGGAAAGCCTGGAATGCTGTCCTGCGGTGAGTAACATCAGCCCCTCCTGTACGCCCTTCCCTTGCCCTAGTAAGACTCTCTCATACCCACTGCTTCAGTCCACAGTCCTGACAGCTCTGTTAGGCAGGCAGGAGAAGGAGCTGAGGAAATGAGGCCCAGAGAGGGAGGAGACTTACTTGAGTTCACCAGCAGTCAGTAGGGCCGGAAGTGGTCTCCAGCCTTCCTGACTCCTTTGTCCCCTTGTCCCTAAGCCCCACAAGTGACCCTGCTCACCTTCAGCCAAACTATCCTCTTCATGGGCAGCTGAAAGGCCGCATGTTGCCAAGCCATGAACTCGTCCACACAGGCACGTATGTGCAGGTCCGGTGGGTACCAGTGTGACGGTGCACTGTACTTGCGACACAGGTAGTAGAGGATGGCCACGCTGCAGAAGGGGCCAGTCAGGGGCACTGCCCTTGCCTTCCCAAGTGCCCCTACCCCAACCACCTTGGTGTGACCTGGGCCCAACTGCTGGGGCTTCCAGGGAAAGGTCTTCACCAGAGCTGTCTGACAGTCAGCAAGGGCAGGGGGGAGACCTGCAGGGTGAGTAGGAGTTGGGCTGGTGGTAGAGGAAAGAGTAGGCCAGCGAGGGGAACAGCACGTGCCGGATCAGGATGCTGAGGCGGGAGGATCACTCGGGCCCAGGAGTTTGCGGCTGCAGTCAGCCAAGGTCGCACCACTGCACTCCAGCTTGAGTGAAAGAGCCAGATCCTTTTTCTAAAACAAAAACAGGCCGGGCACGGTGGCTTACACCTGTAATCCCGGCTCTTTGGGAGGCCAAGGTGGGCAGATCACTCGAGGTCAGGAGTTGGAGACCAGCCTGGCCAACATGGTGAAACCCTGTCTCTACTAAAATGAAAATAGAAAAATTAGCTGGGTGTGGTGGTACACACCTGTAGTCCCAGCTACTTGGGAGGCTGAGGCACGAGAGTCACTTGAACCTGGGAGGCAGAGGTTGTAGTGAGCCAAGATTGTGCCACTGCACCCCAGCCTGGACCACAGAGGGAGACTCTGTCTCTAAAAACAGGCAAAGAAAAACACATGCTGAAATACCAGGGTAAGGCTAGCAAGGTGAATTTGAAGAAAGGAGAGCAGGTGGGTGCAGCTGGAAGAAGGGAGCGGGTGACTGGGGAGTGATGAGACAGAGACACTGTGGAGGCCACGGATGATGGCCCTGGAGATGCAGGGAGGTTACGGACTTAATCCTGAAGATTAGGAGTTACGTAAGCCAGGGCATGAAAGGATCACTTGAGGTCAGGAGTTCAAGACTGCAGTGAACGCCATCAAAGAAAAGAAAGTAAAATAAATAAAAATAAAAATACAAAATTTCTTTTCTTTGATGGCGTCTCGCTCTGTTACCCAGGCTGGAATGCAGTGGCACAATCTCGGCTCACTGCAACCTCTGTCTCCCAGGTTCAAGCAATTCTTCTGCCTCAGCCTCCCAAGTAGCTGGGATTACAGGTGTGTGCCACACCCGGCCAATTTTCGTACTTTTTTTAGTAGAGACAGGGTTTCAGCCTTTTGGACAGGCTGGTCTCTAAACTCCTGGCTTCAGGTGATCTGCCTGCCTTAGCCTTCCAAAGTGCTGGGATTAGGTGTGAGCCACTGCACCCAGCCTTAATTTTGTACTTTTAGTAGAGGCCAGGTTTCTCTATGCTGGTCAGGTTGGTCTCGAACTCCCGACCTCAGGTGATCCGCCCACCTCAGCCTCCCAAAGTGCTGGGATTACAGGCATGAGCCACCACCCCCGGCTTTTCATTTAGGTATCTTAATGGTATTGTAGTGATGCTACACTCTGTCATAGCCCAGGCTGGAGTGCAGTTGCAATCAGAGTTCACTGCAGTCTTGATCTCCTGACCTCAAGTGATCCTCCCATGCCAGCCTCTCAAAGTCCTGGGATTATAGGCATGAACCACCATGCCCAGCCTGTTGCTTTTTTTTTTTTTTTTTTTAAGCACCTTACCTCTGAGAGCTATGTTCCTAAACATTTATTGATTTATTTACTTATTTTTATTTTAGAGATGGGGTATCACTCTGTTGCCCAGGCTGGAGTGCAATGACACAATCGTGGCTCTCTGAAACCTCTACCTCCTGGGCTCAAGTAATCCTTCCACTTCAGTCTCCCACATAGCTGGGACTACCACACTGGCTAAATTTTTGTATTTTTTGTAGAGATGGGGGTTTTCCCTTGTTGTCTAGGCTAGGCTGGTCTTGAACTCCTGAGCTCAGGCCATCTACCTGCTTCAGCCTCCCAAAGCGCTGGGATTATAGGCGTGAGCTGGGCCCTAAACATTTTTGAAATGATGGGGTGTCTGGAAGGCAGGGGAACAGAACTGATGTAAAATGGACCCCAAGTTGGCAGCAGTTGGAGCTGGGCGGTGGGTTTGCGGGGTTCATCATGACCCTCGTTCATCAGCATTCACTCCACTTTAGTGTATGTGTGAGATTTTCCGTGGTAAATAGACAGATGCTCCCACTGAGTCTCCCAGGAGGAGCAGAGACAGACAGTGTGAGGGCTCTGGGGAAGACTCACCTTTCAGTTAAGACAAATTTCCCGTCTTTGAGGCTGGGCAGCTTCCTGAGGGGGTTGATCTTAATGTATTCCTTGTTGTAGGGGTGACCTGGGAGAAGCAGGGAGGGTCTGAGGCTGTGGGATTCCAGGGGAGAGAGAACTGAGACTCCCAGAGACACAAATGCCTCCCTCTTTTCTCAAGAAGAGGGAACGGAGGCCTGGAGGGACATCGCGGCTCACCCTAGGTCACAGAGCAAGGCAGTGGCAGAACCAGACTGGGATAAGAACTGCTGGCTCCCAGCCTGCTCCACCCTAGGGCTGGTGACTCCCGTGCCTCCTACCTGTGTCCCAGGACCAGGATGACCCTTTGGCCCAGAAGCTGGAGGCCTCCAGTGCCCGCCCACAAAGCAGGATCTGCAGCCACAGCCTCTGAATCACCTGAAGCCCTGAGGGCCTGGGTCCTAGCCCCGCTCCCATCACCCTCGCTCTGTCCTTGCTCTAAGGAAGCCGGGCCCAGCACACGGCTGGACATCCAAAGGGGAGCCTCTTGGATGCAATTGGGGCCGTCTGAACAGGGAACCTGATGTGGGGGCAGGAACTGAAGCTCTTCCTGGACCAGCTGCCTCCTGTTGGAAACATTTCCAGGGCTCCCCTCGCACCCTGTTTCTTTCCACAGCTTCTGTGTCTTCCTCTGTGCTCCAAAGGCTTCTGCTTTTGCAGGCTGAACTCTTGGAGCCCCTGTGTGCCCGGGATGGAGTTGGAGCCCAGACCTTTGACCCTCACTTGGGGTCAGTAGAGCCCTGAGCCATTCGGAACACTGGGGAGGATGGGTGTAGACAGACCGTGCACTTCTGCCCCCTCTGCCAACCTGGCAGGCAGGTGCTGCGTTCACAAGGTCCTAGACTCCCACCAGGAAGTGAGGGCGCCTGGTGGGAGCCCAGGGAGTCCCAGCCGCTCTTCCTTCCCCCTTCCCCTAGAAGAGCCTGTTCATCTCCGGCATAAGAACTGTCATTAGTGGGGACTGGCTAAGGTGGGCTGTAGGGACGCAGCCTACAGCCCCCTGGCTTCTCTTCCTTCCCTGTGGACCTCTCGAGGGACTCCCTTGTCTCTGTCTCTACTTCTCAGAAACACCCCAATCAGGCTGGGTGTGGTGGCTCATGCCTGTAGTCCCAGCACTTGGAGGCTGAGGTGGGCAGATCACTTGAGGTCAGGAGTTCGAAACCAGCCTGGCCAACATGGTGAAGCCCAGTCTCCACTAAAAACACTAAAAATTAGCTGGATGTGGTGGCATGCACCTGTAATTCCAGCTACCAGGAGGCTGAGGCAGGAGACTCGCTTGAATCCAGTGGAGGTTGCAGTGAGCCAAGATCGCGCGACTGCACTATAGTCTGGGTGACAGAGCGAGACTCCATCAAGAAACAAGAAAAAAAAATAAGCCCCAAGCTGTGTGCCCTGCCTCCCCCCAGGACCAGGCCTGCTGGGCAGCAGTGGAAGCTGACCTTTCAGCAGATCCACAAACTGAAAGGTGAATGGGATGTCGTGCTTCTTTGAAAAGATGTAGACGGCCCGGCAGGGTGCTGACAGCAGGTCCATGTAGAGCTCCAGGGCCATGTTGAGACGATGCCGGGCGCCACAGCCTCAGCCAGCCAGCTGCAGACATGGGCCTGTGTCTGGCCGGGGCCCCTGGCCCTGTGCCCTCTCCCATTTGGCCGCAGGACCCTGTATTCTGGAACTTCTTGTTTCCGTTTGTGTTGTCATAAGGCCAGGGAACCTTCAGTTCTCACAAGGCCAGGGAGCCTGCAATTCTCACAGCCTCAAGCGTTCTAAGGAGGCCCAGGAGTAGGCTGGGGAGAGGCCCATGGCAAAGGTGGGGCAGCTGTGACCCTACTCTCCCCTGCCACATGTGTCTGTGCCCCGTGGCGCCCCCTCACAGACACCACATCTGAGAAGGGATTATGCCTGGGAATTCCCAGGGCCTGACTTTCCTTGCAGAATCTGGTGAAAGGGGCTTTGCAGGGTGTAGAATGAGCAGGAGGCGATGAGAATTATCCCTGGATGATTCTAGAAGGGTTATCTTGGTGACCTACATCATTTTCCCACCCGGGCAGCTCCAGCTGGTTCAGGCTCCAGCGAGGTTCCAACCTCCAGCATTCACTCCTTGGGTCCAGCCTCTGCCTCAGAGCTGCACAGGCTGAAATGAGGAAGGGGCTGCAGTGATTTGGAAAGTCTCCCCTCTTACCTCTGCCTCCCCCCTACAACTCTGAGCCCCAGATCCTGGCTCTGACCCTGGGTGGGCACCAGGTCACCATTACCTCTCTGCTATTAGGAAGTCGCCTTCTCCGAGGGCAGGCACCTTTCCGAAAGGGGTTCACCTTTAGGAACTCCGGCTTCAGGTGGTCCCCTGCTGGGCAGAAAGGAGGGAAGGCTGAGTGTAGGGCCTAGTCCTTGGCACCTACTCCATGGGGCCCCGCCCAGCCACCTGGCTCACCTCAAGCCAACTCCACAGGCTGCAGCTCAGGAGGGATGCCATTCTTTCCGGCCAAAGTAAATGGCGTGGCAGGGGGGTGAGTACAGGTCCAGGCACAGCTGGAGTCCCATTGCTGCTCCTCCCACCTGCCCTCCCCAGAGGTCTGGACCTCAAGGGGTTGCTCAGCCCTTCTCTGCCCATGCTGGGCTGTTTCCTATCCATAGTCTGCTGTTCTTGTCTGGAGAACAGGGCAGGCTGGGCTTCAGGGACCTTCTCTGGGCATTCCAGGGAAGGTAACTTCATCTTGTCTCTTAACTCTTGCTGACAATTCTCTGGAGCTGGGCACCTTGTAAAACCCATGTCCCAGAATGCCTAACCTGGAAATGCAATGTCAGTGTTGTAACTGCATTGAAACTGAATGAATGAGGTTCCCACCCTTTTATCTAAATACCCTATCAGTCTGTTCAATGTCAATGTATGTAGGGATGGTGTTGGGGGAGGCCAAAGGGAGTCTTCATTTCTGTAGCCTTCCACATGTACTATGCGGTTTTCCTCTAATGATCCTTGGACACCGTGTGGTCACTGTTTCCCTGCATAAACGTTTGATGATTCTTGTCTTTAGCACACCAGTGAATCATCAAATTCAGATTTTCAGGCTGTGTAGTCTGCATAGTTAATAAAGTCAGTTTCTAATGGAATATGCCTGTACCTGCTGTGTTTGTACCTGACCACTGCGAAGGACTCTCATTAAAAGCTGGACCTAGGAGTTCCTTCCCCTGGTCTCCGGCCCCCTGGCCCAACTGTTTTGCACTCTTTCCTCTGCCAGTGTGTTTCATGGTGTTCTGCTTCCCAGAGTGCCTCAGGGAGTGTTTGGGTTTCATGTGAATGAATTGTTGCAGTCTCCAAGGATGGGATTCAGGCCTAACTCTCCTAAGACCATAAGGCAACAGTCTTCGATCTAGAATCTCCATGTTAAATCTGCCATCCTCACTGTAGTGAGAGTGATACTGACACAGAAAAGTTAGGTAATTAGGGTGGGTCCTTGGTAAAACTCCTTTAAAGAGAGAAACAGCCTGAAAATTCAGGCTGCAGGCACAGATAAGGAAAGTTGCAAACCTCCGGCCCACTTACATAAAGGAACAAGGTGCAACACAGAAACCCCTTTGATGTTTCTGCCTCAGACATGCCTGCAGCTGCTTTGATAAGGGAACAAGACCAAGCATAGAAATGGCTTTGTCCTTTGTACAACCAGTGGGCTTCCAGGAAATAGTCTCTTCTGCTATTGCGGGAATGTACACAGTGGGCTCTGGTGGGTTCCAGTAGGCACTTTCCTTTCTTGGACATGCTTTAGACTGTGAGCTGAGCCTCTATGATCATCACTTCAGCCCCTGATTGGTCCTGGGCCAGGCTATCGCGTCAGCTCCTGATTGGTCCCTGTCAAGGTCTGGGTCAAGCTGAGTAGCACTTCCTCCAAGACCAGTCAGCACATTCCTTTCCTTCCAGTCCATAAAAACCTCTTTGCCTCAAAGTAGGCAACCCACTCAGCCCTTCTCCTCTGCAGTGAGCTTTCTTCTTTTGCTTATTAAACTTGTACTCTAACCTCACCCTTTGTGTCTACACTCTTTTAATTTTCTTGGCCGTGAGACAAAGAATTCTGGGTGATACCTCACAATGAGAGGCTGGTACATTGTGGTGCATGGCAAGACTGCAACAATGTTTTCTGCTTGCTTGTGTGGACTGGGCTCTTCCCACCTCTCCAGAGTGCTCTCCCCACATTGTGGCCCGGAGCTTTGCCTTATGGTAACACTGTGCTGCCTGACATTCCTGTATGATCTGCATGTTTCTCACCTCGGGACCCTCCCCACACAGCTTCCTGCTGCTTGGACCACCCTTCCCACTTATTTTCGACTGTTTCTTTCCAGCACATCTTTCATACTAAGGCTCGAGTGGAAGCTGCATCGAGGCTGAAAGTTATCCATGTAGCTTTGAAACCATCTGTTTATGCTTCTGTTCATCCCCTCTGCAATACTGTTTACCCCAATACTCAGTCAAGGTTGGTGACTCAACAATTTTCAAAACTTCTAGCTTATCAGTGCAGCTTTACTGTACTGAACTGAGTTTTTCACCATGCTTTTACTGTCTTCAAGGTTGAAAAGGCCCCAACATTCATTCCTATTTAAATCATCCTTGCTAGACTCAAGAAGCTATGAATTCAACCACAGTGTAAAATTCTTCCCCACAATGCTTTATTATTGTTATAGTTCCCAAGAGAGTACCGTCTAGCCTTGACAGAAGCCTTCAACTCTGTCACCTTTTTCAGCTCTGGAATTCTGACACCACCCGTCACCCCCTCCTAGCTCATTTCCTCCTAGTTCATTTCCTAGGTTTTGTTCTTTTTTTCATTTTTTTTCAATATTCTATTGTATCTGTGACTTTTGGGCTTCAAATCTGTTTTGGAAAGAGGAGAGGCACAGGTAATATAATGAATGAAGATGCTTTTCCTCCCTGGTTCTAAGTCAAGCTTCTCCAACCTGCTGGAGGGCTTGACTTTGAATGCAGCTCAACACAAACTCACAAACTTTCTTAAAACATTTTGAGATTGTTTGGTGACTTTTATTTTTATTATTTATTTATTAGCTCATCAGCTATCCTTAGTGTTAGTGTATTTTATGTGTGGCCCAAAACAATTCTTCCAACGTGGCCCAGGGAAGCCAAAAGAGTGGTTATAACATACAGCACATCGTTTAGCAACTGCTCATGATTTAGCAAGCTGTGGAGCCGGGTAATAACCCACAGCTGTAGGTAATAACACACAAAAAGCTGTAGGCAACAACACACAGCTGTGGGTAATAACACACAGCCTGTTAAAACTCGCGCTCTGAATGAAGAGACTCCCCAAACAAGTTTTGTGTGAGCAACAGTTACAGTTTAGGGTAGTTTTTTGCAAGCTGGGAGGGGGTTGCAGGGTCTGGAGTCATGAGGTTGACGAAGGTCAGTTACAAAGTCCAATGGTCTTATCAATTGGGGCTGGAACAAGAAACAATAGAAGAATGTCTCAAGTTAGTTAGGCGCTGCAGGGATTGATCATCTTCCTCTTTTCATGGTCTTCCGGGGGTCACCATATGACACCGTCAGTCAGCCTAAAAGACCTTACATTCCTGTCTTTTTATATTTGTACTATAAAGGAAAAAGAAATGAAGAGTGAGGGCAGAGGAATATTAGGAAGGCCAGCCCAGAGGGGTGATGGGGCAATGTTTCTCAGGGCTTCTTTGAGTGGGCTTGGGGGCAGCTCAGAAACCTAAAAATGGGAAAGAATTTGGACTGCTGAGAGATTTGGGGGCAAAGGTTGATATTGTGGGGTTGTTGGAGCATTTGGCATATTGACTGATTGGTTATAGCTTGGATACGATTTTGTAGGAATTGAGAAATTAATCAGAAAACACAGGGTCCAAACAAGAGAAGGAGAAAGATAGGTATCAGAGGACTAAGGATTGGGGGAAGCCATGACTCCCAGTGAGAGAGTGTCCAGCCAGTCCACTGAGGTCCAGAATAACCATTTGCCTGATTAGCGAGCTTTTGGGCTCTGTCTTTTAATTTATTGATGGCATCATATACGAGGCCAGACTGGTTTACATAAAAACAACCTTCTTCATTTAGAAATAGGCAAAGACCTCCTTTTTCAGCACGACCTCTGCGGTTTTGGAGGACAACTGCAGCTGTGGAATTTACTTGAGCTTGAAAAAGGGATAGTAATTGAGTTAATTCTGCAATGCTAGCAGAGAAATCATTAGAGAGGCTACGGAAGGCGACGACTGAAGGGGTAAGGCCTGCTATGCCTGTGCCAAGTGCAGTAGTAATTCCTTTTTTTTTTTTTTTTTTTGTGACGGAGTTTTGCTCTTGTTACCCAGGCTGGAGTGCAATGGCGCGATCTCGGCTCACCGCAACCTCCGCCTCCTGGGTTCAGGCAATTCTCCTGCCTCAGCCTCCCGAGTAGCTGGGATTACAGGCACGCACCACCATGCCCAGCTAATTTTTTGTATTTTTAGTACAGACGGGGTTTCACCATGTTGACCAGGATGGTCTCGATCTCTTGACCTCGTGATCCACCCACCTCGGCCTCCCAAAGTACTGGGATTACAGGCTTGAGCCACCGTGCCCGGCCCAGTAGTAATTCTTAACCCTACAAGTGAGGGGATCAATGGAATGATCTGCTTGTGTTGTGTCAGGACCACAGGGGGAACAGGGAGGCTTTCGTTTCCGTTGGCAAACTGAATTTTGGGAGTAAGGAAAACTAGGGTACAAGTGCCTGTCCGGTTGGTAGGAAGGCAGATGTAAGAAGAAGAACCACCGAGGAAAAAAGTCCTTGGCTTAGACAGAACTGAAAAGGCAAGGAAGTGTTCTGAGGTGGCTGGGCTTCGGACCCAAATGCCAAGGGAATCCCAAATGCGGCTGTTAAAGGTTGTAGCGGGGTTTGGAAGGGTAACTGTGTGGAAGGAGAGCTTTTGTTTTCATGGTGTATGAGGAAGCGTGTGGTATCTATAAGTAACTGCTCACTTTCATTAAGAAGATTGGGTATGAGCAGAGAATGGGAGTGAGATTAAGAGTGAGTATAAAAGAAGAGGACTTTATCGGGTGGAGGAATTGGAGAGTTCCCTGCCACTGGAGATTATCCACTCTGAGAGAATTAAGGGTGGCAACCTGAGGGTAAAATCATGAACTATCAGCTGTAATTGCCTGGAGGAAAAGTGTAAACTGGGAACATTTCTTTTTTTCTTAGATGTAATCTTGCTCTGTCACCAGGCTGGAGCGCAGTGCTCAGCTCACTGCAGCCTTTGCCTCCCAGGTTCAAGTGATTCTCCTGCCTCACCCTCCTGAGTAGCTGGGACTACAGGTGCAGGTGCCACCACGCCCAGCTAATTTTTGTATTTTTAGTTGAGACGGGGTTTTACCAGGTTGGCCAGGATGGTCTTGATCTCTTGACCTTGTGATCCACCTGCCTCGGCCTCCCAAAGTGCTGGGATTACAGGCGTGAGCCACTGTGCCCGGCCTAACTAGCAACTTAAACAAAAGCAGGGCATGTAAAAGTAAATGAGTACAGTGAATTTCAGTGCAGTTAGAAAATAGAAACAGAGACTTTCTGAGGTGTAGTTTAAGTAGTAGGGGCGACCGCGTTAAATAGTGGTGTTAGGAAAAAGATGCCTAGTGAAAGTAAAAGGAATGTTAGGTTTATATAGAGCTACTCTTTCGCTTTGGGGATATGGGTGAGTTTACAAGAAGTGAGGGAGAGAACTTGCGACTTCCAGGAGGACGCCAAGGAGTCAGGCCGATTGTCTGATGGCCACAGCTTTATCCTGGAATGATGGACCCACTGGAGAGGGTCTTGTAGACTGACAGCAGTTGGGGTGCTGTAGACGATCAGAAAGGGTCCTGTCCACCGAGGTTGCAGAGACCGAGGGGTTAGGCTTTTAACTGGGACTGATCTTCCAGCTAGGGTGTTTTCATATGGCTGGGTATCTGGAGTGGGTAAGAGGAAATTAGCAGACTGGTGGATTTCATGTCTGGCCTGTTGGAGGGCTGGTGTCTCAGATAAGGTTAGGCCCAAGCAGAAAGGTGTGGCCATACAGGAGTTCCAAGGGGCTATACCCTGTGGCTTCTTTAGGAGTGGCTTGAATCCTGAGTCCTCTGCAGTGGATAACTCCAGCCTTGGCTGGGTGGAGAGTGGCCTTAAGGAGGGCCTTTATTAAGGGGGCATTGATAATACAGGACCCTTGCGTAGTGAGAAAACCTCTTTCTGCCCATATAGCAGCATAGTGGTGTAAGATGTGGAAGGCGTACTTAGAGTCAGTATAGATATTAACATGTAGTCCTTTGGCAAGAGTAAGAGCATGGGTTAAGGCAATCAGTTCAGCTTGCTGAGAAGTGGTAGAAGAGGGAAGTGTGGCAGCCTCGATGATGGATGAGTGGGATACAACAGCACAGCCAGCTTTGGCCAATGCCAACCGGCTGGGCTTCGAGAAACTGCCATTCATAAACCATGTGCGGTCTGGGTCTAGAATAGGAAAAAGATAAATATGGGGAAATGGGGAGGATGCTACATGGATTAGGGAGACACAGTCATGGGGTTCGGGGTTTGTGTTAGGTATTAACTAAGACTGAGAGCAATGGTTACAGTGGGTGTTCCAATGACTAGTGAATAGAGTTGGAGGAGGCGAGGGGTGGATAGTAGGTGTGTAAGGTGTGAAGAAGAAACTAAACTTTGGAGGTTGTGAGAGCTATAGAGGGTAAGTGGGGCATAGCCCGTGATTTTGAGGGATTCTAAGAGTATCAGGGTGGTAGCGCTGCTGCTCGTGGGCATGAGGGCCAGCCCAGGACTGTGAGGTTAAGTTGTGTGGATAAAAAGGCTGCAGGCCGTGGGCCTGGCTCCTGTGTAAGAATTCCGATGGCACAGCCTTTTATTTCTGCTGTGTGGAAAGAGAAGGAGCGCTAAAGTAGAAGCAGTCTCTAAGGCCTTTTTTAGAGAATAGAAGGAAGAATTGGGGAAGGATTTTTGGTCTTTGGGGTCAGACAGGTTTCCTTTTATAGGTCTTGGACTAGCCTGTAGGATTTGTCTAGTTTTTGGACAGATAGGATAGGGGAAGAAATTTGGGCTTTGGAAGGGGATATGCGATACTCCTTTGAGTATAAATGCTGAAGAAGCAGGAGGGTGAATTAAAAGACCATGTTGTAATAGACGGGTGATAACAGGCTTTAGGCCTTTAAAGCCTTTGTGGGATGGGGTACTGGTGCTGGACGGGGTAAGGGTGGTTAGGTTTTAAGGCGATGATGAGGGGTTGAGTGACTTGTAGCAAGGGATGGGGAGGTGGTGTTCCACACCCTAGGGTCAAGGTAGGGGGACGTAAGGGGAGCTATTGAGGGAGGTACGGGTTCTGGGAGGAAGGCAGCAATGAGGTGTGGCTGTAGCCCAGGGATAGTGAAGGAGGCAGACAATTTTGCTAGGATATCTCAGCCTAACACAGGAACTGGACAAGTGGGGATGATTAGAAAAGAATGTGGAAAGGAGTGCTGGCCTAATCGACACCAGACTTGGGGAGTTTTGAGAGTCCTGGAGGCCTTGCTGTCAATTCTCACAACAGTTATGGAGGCCAAGGAGACAGGTCCTTGAAAAGAAGTCAGTGTGGGATGGGTGGCCCCCATACTGACTAAGAAGGGGATAGACTTACCCTCCACCATAAGAGTTACCTGAAGCTCAGTCTGTGATGGTCCAGGGGGCTTCCGAAGCAGTCCGGTAGCGTCAATCTTCAGTTGCTAAGCTGAGAAGTTCTGGAAAGGAGTCAGCTGGAGAATATTGGATTTGAACTCCAGGAGCCTTGGGAGTGGCTATAATATGAGCCATACAGTCCGATTTCCAGTGGGGTCCCCCAAGGACAGGACACGGCTTGGAAGGAGCCTTGGGCTGTGAGCATTCGTTAGCCCAATGTCCAAGCTTGTGGCATTTGAAGCAGGATGGAGCCCCAGGCTGTGGGCTCGCCCTGGCCCAGTGAACAGTTTTCTGGCCATTCGGAACCATTGTCTAATTTGTATTGAGGGCAGGCTGTATTACAGAAAAAATGAGACTTTTAGGTTTCAGATCGGGCGACAGTTGAAGAGGTTTTAGGTTTTTTAGGACACAGGCTAGAGGCGAAGGCTGAGGAATAGAGGGCGGAATACTGCCCCTAGTGAAGGAGATAAGTTTTAAGGAAAAGAGTAGAGACTAGGAGAAGGGGCGAGCAGCTACCAGGGTTTGCAGTAGGCATCCCTGACTGATTCTTGGACTGTAATGTGGAAGTGATCAAGGCAGGCGTCCCTGCGATTGACCAGACCCCAAGGGAAGACTGTCTTCCAGAGTCCATGACCACGTCAGAGTTTGTGAGCTAGAGGGAGAGACTTGTCTCCTCTGGCTCCACACGGATAGAGTGTCTCCTTTGTCTCTACTAGAAGGAGATAGCTTTGAAAGGAAAAGAGAGAGAGAGAGAGGGAGAGACTTGTCTCCTCTGAAGGAAAAGAGAGAGGAAGAGATATGTCTCCCCTTCTCTGAAGGAAAAGAGGGAGAGAGAGACACTTGTCTCCCCTTCTCTAAAGGAAAAGAGAAAAAGGGGGAGACTGCTTACCCAATCTGAAGGTGGCTGTTCCTCACGCTAAGCGGGAGCTGCTGAGCTGGTCTGATGTGTTGAGGTCTCAGGTGGGTCTCTTCCCAGAGGGGGAAGAGGGGACAGGGGGCTGGTCTCCCCAAACGAGTACCCTTGTCCGGGTTTTCTGCACCAAATATTAAAACGCGCTCTGAATGAAGAGACCGCCCCCCCCCCCAACAGGCTTTGTGTGAGCAGCGAGGCTGTTTAGTCACCCGGATGCAGGTGGGCTGAGTCAGAAAAGAGAATCAGCAGAGGGCGGTGCTGTAGGAGGTGGTTTTATAGGTTTGGGGTAAGCAGTGTAAAGTTACAGAAGTTACAGGTTAGGGCGGGTTTTTGCCAGCTGGGTGGGGGTCGTAGGGTCTGGAGTCACGAGGTTGACGAAAGTCAGTTACAAAGTTCAATGGCCTTATCAATTGGGGCCGGAATAAGAAAACAATATTAGAATGTTAGTTCTTCTGTTGTTAGAAGAGTTAGGCGCTGTAGGGGTTGATCATCTTCCTCTTTTCTTAGTCTTCCGGGGGTAGCCGTGTGGAGCCTCAGTCAGCCTGCAAGACCATACACAGCCCATCATTTAGCGACTGCTCAGGGCGCCAGCTGTGGATCTGGGAGTCCGACTGCGAGCTGGTGCCCTGAGCCTCCAGCACGCGAGGACCAAGAGCGGGGATCCGGAACCAACAAGCTCCACTCCCGCATTTCACAGATTTCACAGACACACACGCGTGCCCGCGCTGCACCGCTCCAAGGGTAGCGGTCTGCAGGGTCCCAGCGAACTAGCCCGGTAGGGCGGGAGAGGGGCGCGTGTGCCCACCCTGATTGGTTGGTGCAGCCGGCACCGGAGCCAATAGGAGCGCGCCTTGTTGTGAGGCGCCCAGCCGACCGGCGTGGTCTTCGGGAAGGACTGGCTGTTGCTGTGGAGACGCCTGGTGAGTTCCTGGAAGGCTGAAGGCTGTGCCGGGGTGGGGGGCGACGCTGGGCAGAGCCGGGGGCGCGGGTCAGAGGGGCTGCAGGCGCGAGCCTGGGTCACGTGAGGACGCTGGGGGTTTCGCGGGCAGCTCTAGAGCCACAGTCCGGGAAACTGAGGCCGGGCTTTCTGGCTGCCTCGCGGGCCTCTTTACGGCTATCGCCGCCGCCCCGAGGTGCCTAGAATGGGTTTCAGCCTTGGGGGGTGGTTCACAGTAACAGCAGGAGCCACCATTGACTTGGCGTCTGCTGGGTGCAAAGCCCAGCGTTAACCCTTTACTCGCGACCTTTCGCTTCACCTTCACAGCAGCCCTGCGAGGTGAGTGCTATTATTAGTGCCATTTACGAGGGGGGGGAACTGAGGCCGAGGGAAGGTGAAATGACTTGCTCCAAGCCACCCAGTGGGTGAGCGCAACTCCAGACTGAAAATTTTGACTATTCTGCTCAGTGACTCCCCGCGGGAGGCGGGCCCTGGCCAGATGAAACTCACCTGACATTCCCAAGGTGTCTGCACAAGTGGCTTTGGGAGTCACTGAACTCTTCAGGACTTGGGTACAGGTAATAAATGTGGGACTGTCGGATTCCATGTGGCTAAGGTTCCTTCTGTGTGATTATTGTGGTTAGAAATAGAATGTCCTTAGAACGGTCTCGTTCAGCAGTCAGCAAACTTTTGTTGTAAATATATTAGTGTTTACATTGTTGTAGTGTAAATATAATGACTGTAATAGTATTCATAATAGTAGTTTAGCCTTGGCGGGGGGGCGTACTCTGTCTACTCAAGTGTGGCAATGTAGTGTGGATACAGCCAAGGACAATACACAAGACAGTGGCTGTGTTGCAATAAAATGTTAATTATGGGGACCGAAATTTTAATCGTATATATTGTTTATATACTTTTCATGTGTCATAATTTTTTTCCAAATATTAAAAAAATGTAAAACCATTCTTTGCTCCTGGGCTATACAAAGAGGATGGGCTGGTTAGCTACATGAGGGGGAACCGAGACCCAGAGAGGGGCATCTATGTCATGTCAGTCACACAGCCAGGGCAGTGCCACAACTGAGTTTAAGACATAAGCTTCCCACCTTCCAGGCCAGGAAACACCCCCAGTTAACACTCTGGATCAGGGTGCTGAGGTGTTCAAAATGTGCTATTCTTTATCATATGTTCTGAGGCCATGGAAACCATACTCTAACAGGTTTGATAACTTATTAGCTTAGACTAATAAGTCTGGTGAATGTGCTGCTATCTGAGGAAACGCAGCTGCTGGGCTGGGAGTCAGAAATGAATAGATATTTTTCTTTTTCATGATTTTCAATAGCTATTTTTTTTTAAAGCTTCTTTTAGTGAGTTTCTTGGGTTTATGGTGAACAATACATAAATGGTCATCGTCCTCACATTGCTTACAGATGATAAATGTATAATCAAAATGGTTATTTATTTATTTAAAAGAGTTGGGGTTTCTCCATGTTGGTCAGGCTGGTCTCGAACTCCCGACCTCAGGTGATCCGCCTGCCTCGGCCTCCCAAAGTGCTGGGATTTACAGGCGTGAGCCACCATGCCTGGCATGGTTATTTATTTTTAAGCTTTTTAAGCTAATTTTAGATTTAGAGAAAAATTGCAACAACAATACAAAATATTCTCTTATGTCCCTCACCCTGCTTTCCCTAATGTTAACATCTTACATAATCATAATACAATTATCAAGAACAGAAAGCTAGTGTTGGTACAGCATTATTAACTATATTACAGACGTGATATGAATGTTACCATTTTTTAAATTAAGGTTGCGGTTTCATTCCAGGATTCTATCCAAGAACCCATGTTGCATTTTAGTTATTTCTCGTTGGTCCATAACACTTCCTTAGTCTTTTCTTGTGTTCCTTGGCTTTGATGCTTTTAAAGAGCACTGATCAGTTATTTTGTCTAATGTCTCTCAATTTAAAGGTTTGTCCAGTGTTTTCTAATGAGTGGGGTGAGATTATGCATTGTTGGCCAGAATAACGCAAAGACGCGTTGTCTTGGTGTCTTTCTCGGTGCGTCAGATGGAGTCCAGGATACTGGTGATATTTTGATCTGTTGTTTGCTTGGTGTCTGCCAGGTTTCTACACCATAAAGTTAGTATCCCTTTTTAATTAATGAGTCTGTTGGGAGACATACTTTGAGAGGACGCAAATTCTGGTTCTCTACGAGTTTGTGCGCACTGACTTTAGCCTCCATCTGCAGTTGTTTGTGGTGTTTGCCTGAAGGTAATTATTTCTCTTTCCTTCTACATTTATTTATTAAGTCAAGTTCCACAGAAAGAAGAACTACCCACTGTCTCTTTTTTTACAGTATTTGTTTGTATTAGTATAGGCCGTGGATATGCATTATATTCTGTGAGTTAAAATTCATTATCATTATTATTTTGTTGCTTACTGTTCCAGCATTGGTTATTCAGTTGAAGGTCTCCTTCAGGTTAGCTTCTGTGGCCTATCAACCAGCCATCATCTTTTTGTTGTTGTTGAGCAATTACTTTATGACACCTAAAGATGTTCCAGGTTCATCTTGTTTTCTGTGTCCCAACCCTGGAATCACAGTTCTTTTTGTCTTCAGCCTCACAGTATCCAGTCAAGATACTGTTTTTCACGGTTCTTTAGTTTTTTTCTTCCTCATGCCCTTCAGAGTGGTTATGTTAGTTGTAATAGTTAGGTTTATTGTTAGTGTTTGTATTTCATTTTGAGTTCCCCCTATATCCTAGTTGATTTTAGTTTATTTTTGGGGTATGAATTGTGACTGATTTCTGAGCGTTAGAGCTACACACAAAGGTATACTGAGAGAATTTTCCTCCTCATGCCTACTGCCCTGTTCCCATTTGCCCCTTTTTTTCACCCCTTCCCTATATACCCTGTATATCTAACTTTGGTATCTGGATTATCTCATATTTCTTTTGCACAAGTGAACAGATAGCTGTGTATTTTCTTTTATCATTATTTTTTCCTTTTTCCTTTTTTTATTGTACTTTAGGTTTTGGGGTACATGTGCAGATCATGCAGGATTGTTGCATAGGTACACACATGACAATGTGGTTTGCTGCCTCCATCCCCCTGTCACCTACATCTGGCATTTTTCCCCTTGTTATACTTGTGTATTTTCTCATATCCTCTTCTTTCTTATACAAAGGGTGACATGCTATAGATAATTGTGTTTGCTTTTTTCAGTTAATAGTATGTTTTGGGCAGGGCAGGGTGGCTCACGCCTATAATCCCAGCACTTTGGGAGGCTGGGGTTATAGGCGTAATCATTAGAGCGGATCATTAGACCAGCCTGACCAACATGGTGAAACCCCATTTCCACTAAAAATACAAAAACAAATTAGCTGGGTATGGTGGCACATGCATGTAGTCCCAGCTACTAGAGAAGCCGAAGCAGGAGAATCGCTTGAACCCAGCAGGTGGAGGTTGCAGTGAGCCGAGATCATGCCACTGCACTCCAGCCTGAGCGACAGAGCGACACTTCGTCTCAGAAAACAAACAAAAACATCTTTATTGAGATATAATTGATATACCTTACAATTCACCCATTTAAGTATCAATTCAGTGGTTTTTAGTATATACACAGACTTATGCAAGCATCATTGCAGTACATTTTGGAACATTTTATCACCTCTAAAAGAAACCTTGATCCATTAGCAATTAGTAATTACTTCCTATCCTGTCTTCCCCCAGCTCTAGGCAACCATGAATCCACTTTCTGACTTCATAAATTTGCCCATTTTGGACATTTCACGTAAATGGAATCATACAATATGTGGTATTTTGTTACTGGCTTCTTCCACTTAGGATAATGTTTTCATGGTTCATCCGTGTTGTCGGTGCTTTATTTTTATGGCTGAATAATATTCCATTGTATGGCTATACCACCTTTTGTTTATCCATCAGTTGATGGACTTCTGGGTTTCTACTTATGCATTATTTTGAATTATGTTGCTATGAACATTGCCTCATTAATTTTTACAGCTGCATATTCCTTCATTGTATGAATGTACCATAGAATGTACATAGAGTAGATGAATAAACTATTATAATGTTTATTTAATAATAGTTTATTCATCTACTCTCCTATCTATGGCCATTTAAGCTGCTTCCATTATCTTGCAATTACAAACAGTGCTGCACAGTGAATAACCCTGTGCATCTGTATTTTTGTATTGTTGGAGGTACATATTCAGGGTAGTTTC